TAAATAGGCTTTGAGAACTTTAACTCATCCGACATTGCCCGCTCCATAACCGTTAGCACCACCTTTTAAAAATCGTTCGTGGGCTTGATTGTATCAGTTGGTGAAGGCTTTTCAATCCTTAATTTTGGGTTCTAAGTCCTTGATTAATTTGAAAAGGGCTAAGGCTTCCCCTTTATAACCTTTTTTTTTTACCTAATTCAGTTAATTTAGTTTCAACAGTTTGCTTTTGGGTTTTGATTTCGGCTAATAATTGTTTGACATCGTTGACTTTGATGGTTTCTTTATCGGTGGTTACTTTGGTTCCATCTGGTTTGATTTCATCCTTTTTAAATTCCTTATCTTCTTCTTTACCAACTAGTCCAATTATTTTTTTATCCCATTCGGGAGTTCCTTTTGCATATTTATTGTTATTGTTATTACTTGACATATTTTATTTGATTTTCAATTGTTATATTTTGCCAATTAGTAGAGCAAAACACAATATCACGATACAATTAAACGAACATATTGCGAAACTCTTACTAATTGGGCTTTTGTAGTTGTTAAGGAGATTATGCTCCTTTATTCTTTATTCATGTAGTTGACGATAAAGTTTTCAACAAGTGCGAGCAAGACAAATCTGGTTAGGTTCGTTTAGGACATGCTGTTTAAGAAACTTAAATAACAAGTCGGTATCTAAATTAATATAATCCGCTTCCGGAAGTTCAGAGTCAATGCCGGGAATTTCACCGGGATAATACATTCACACTTCCATTCCATCTAATAAACCCTTGGGACTTATTTTGGCAAACTTAATTCTTTTGAATACTTTGGCTCAGCGCTTTTTCCCTTGGATCATTTCTAAAATTAATATATGAGACTGATGACCCTTAAAATGAGCATTCTTTACTTTTTCTTTTTAAGATTTCTTTTTCTCAATAAGGATTAAGTTAGAAGCAGATTAAACTCTTATAAAATAGTCGGTATCTAAAGATCCACCAGGCTCATTTTAGCATAATTAAGGGCGGGATTATTTTTTTCCATGACAGGAAAAATCAACACCACCCAGACTCACATTTAGAAAATGAAATTTTGCCAGTTTTTCCTTGGTTCAAAAAAAACCTTAAAAAAGGACTAATTTCTCATTTTCTAAGTAAAAATGTGTCAAACCCTTTTCCTTACTTGGTGGGGAAGAAGGATTTGAACTTCGAGCCTTATCTTCACTCAATCTTACTTGATTTTGTTTAGAAAACCAAAGATATCTTGTTGGAAATTTCTCACATCTCGTGGTGTGCTTTTGCGGCTCTTATCCTCCCAATTCTAAACTTATTGGTTCTGATGCTCTGTCTTTCGGACTTCGGCAGAAGGACTATTTTTCCAAAAATCTTTGTGATTAATCTTTGGGGGAATTATTCTAAAATAATAAATATAAAGAGTATTAGCTCAGTTGGGAGAGCATCTGCCTTACAAGCAGGGGGTCGCTGGTTCGAGCCCAGCATACTCTACCATAACATAGAATGTGAAAGACAGTCGCCAGGTTTGTTAATGAGCCCGTTTACCACGAAGTCCAATTTATGAAATTCTACAAAGCAACTTTGAAAAATAAGGATGGGAATTTTATTTGTTCTTTTGGTGAAAAATATTTGCGGGACTATTCCCACGAGAAGCAAGTTTGTTTTTTGAAATGCAAAAAAACTAATTTCGGATTTTCCTGCCAAGAAATAGAATTTTTAGACAATAATGAAGAAATTACCTCGTGAGTAGAAACGATTGGTAAAGAAAGCAAAGAAAAAACAATTCAAAACAAAGAAATATTAAAAAAAGAATTAACCGAAAAGGCTAAAATAATTGTTGGATTATTGGAAAAAGAGGTCGAAAATAATTGGACCTTTCGCATCGATTCTCAGCCTTTTTCCATTTACTTAGAAAGTTCAAAAAATCCCCATTTAAGGTTTTTAATCAGTAACTTTGCTAAAAATCAAGTAATTTTGGATAATAATTCTGCTCTTAATCATTTAAAAAATATTTATGTTGATTTAGCCAAGATTGATATATATTATTTGTTTAAGGATATACAGGAGAGAATTAAAATTATTGAAAAGTTAATCTAATAACTGGCTGATTTAGCTCAATTGGCAGAGCAACCGCCTTGTAAGCGGTAGGTTGTAGGTTCAACTCCTACAATCAGCACCATTTTAAAACAGCATTTACCACTTATGCCAAATCAAAAATCATATATTACCCATAAAGAAACAGATGAGTTAGAAACCATTGAAGAAGTAAATTATTGAATAGATAAATACAATAACTATGGTGATAAAGGAAAAAGACACATTAATGACGTTCAGAAACTATGAAACTATTAAAAAAGAGAAAAGAAGAAATAATAACTAACAAGGCATTTTTGTCAATATCTAAGGGAGGAAGTTCTGTTTCTAAGGAACCTGAACCTACCCTAGAAGAATTAAGAGAAAGGTTAGAAAAGAAAAGGATACTAGAGGAGTTGGCTAAGAAAGGCACTAAGCAAACTAGGGAGCATGATGAAAGTATTATCGGGGTTTGTAAGACTTGCCACTTCCCTATTTACTATGGTGAGGTAATTTATACTCCTCATGAGATGCTAACTGAAAATGAATATGGAGGTGAGGCAGGAGGAATTTATGGAGGTGGAGGGGCGATTGGTGCCTACCGAGCCAGAAGCAAAGGCAGAAGAAGTAGTGAAGGGTGAATACAATGCGGGTTTTGTTATCAAATATACGAAAAGGATTTAGAGAAGTTTAATAAATGGGAAAAGAGAAAAGCCTTTGCCTTTCCAATTGTAATGACCTTAACCGGGCTGATTGGTTTAGGAGTGGGTTATATTATGGAGGATAAAGAAAAGTTTAGGAGCGCCTTTGTCTTTTGGTTCATAGGTGGAGGAATGGTAGGGTTCTTAATCGCTTACCCAATTTACTTGTTGCTGTTCGGGTTGAAGCCTAAAGTTGACCGATATAAGTTAAGAATTAAGGAAAGGAAAGGAAAGAATATGAATTGGGTAGGGAAGAAAAGAAAGTTCAAGTGAAACAGTATGAAGGGGAGGTGTATTTCTAAGGTTAAGAATAAAAACTAAAAAATAAAAATATATGAATTACGAAGCACACACACACACACAGCAAAAAAGATGTCGCTTTTGCGAAAAAGACCATTATGGTAGCCAAAGGGTTTGTCGGAATTGTATCGAACAATACCGACCTAAATTAAGTTTATTTTGAATATTTTTCTGACTTATTTTCAGTGCGGGTATTATCTCAATTATTTATTATTTGTGAAAGAAAAACCAGCAAGAGGAATGAGATAAAATGAACTTGTAGGAAAAGGGAGGGTAGCTCAATTGGCAGAGCAGTTGACTGTAGATCAATTGGTTGGGGGTTCAAGTCCCTCTTCTCCCACCAAAACAACAATAATATATATAAATTAAACAATAATATGAAAATGCGAACTTGAGAAAAATGGTATTGAGGAATAATCCTTGGTTTTTGTACATTAATAGTAGTAGGATGATGCTTATCAAAAGAGGTGGAAGTAACTGTTTTTGGTGATACAAAAATATACACCGAGTTTAAAGACAAGTTAAAGGTAGGATTAATCGCTGCCGCCATCATAATTGGTATTGCTTTGGTGATTTGATTAATTATTAGACTTTTTTCCAAAGATGGAGAAAGCAAGCAGCGGTAAAAGTGGTTATAAAAAAAGAGAAAGATATTAAAGAACCAAGAATGATAAGTCCTAAAACATGGCAAAAATTAAAGCAAAAACAGGCTGAATTAGACCAAATTATTGTTGAAAAAAGCCCCACTGATTTAAAATGAGTTTCTCAATTTAATGCTGAAAGGTTAAAACTAGCCCTTTTAGTAGAAGTGGGTGAGTTTGCCAATGAAATAAAATCCTTTAAAGCTTGACGAAAAAAACCGGAAATTGATTGAGCCAAAGCCAAGGAGGAATTAATTGATTG